CTCTGCACCCCCCCCCCCCGCGAGCTCCCAAAAACCCGCGGCCGGTGGGTGCAGCCGTGGCCCGGAGCCGCGGGAGCACGAGGGGCAGCTCCGGGGTGAAGCACCTGGGTCGGAGGCCGGACACGGCGGGGAGACGGCTCCCAGGCGCCTGCACAAACTGATGTGCCAGCGCGGAGCAGCCCTACCCGCCGGGATCCAGCCCTGCCGTCCCGTCCCACCGCGCTCCTCGCTGGGCTGGCGGGGTCCCGCTCTCCCACCCTGCCCGCCCGAGGAGCACGGCTCGGCGAGCGGGAGCCCCCCGGAGAAGCGAGCTCACACCGCCAGCCCCCCCCCCCCCCCTAACCCCGCATCGCCACGGGCTCGAACAAAGCAGCAGCAAATAGCAGAACCAGCTGCTCGCTAACTCAGCGAAGCGGAGGGGCTTTAGCAGCGCTCTGTTGAATACTCACCCCCACCGAGCCCCCGTCCCGGGCAAACCGTCCCCCCGCGCCCGGGACCCTCTGAGCAGCAGGATTGAGAAGCTGGGTGGCTGTGCCGTGGGCCCTGCTCCTGCTGCGGGCCAGGAGCACCCGGGAACACCACGGGCCGTGCATCCTTGCAAGCAGTGTTGTTACTTGCATCTGTGCTTAATGAGGTAACTGAAGCCTGGTGTTTTCTGTGGTCAGATCTGTGTGAAGAGCAGCTGAGAAGTGCTAAAAGCAGCTTTCAAAGGCCTGTTAGGTGGTGCTCAGGTCCATTCCTGCTTGGAAACCCTTATTTCTTCTTGCCTGAAAAAATTAAAATTGCATCTCTGCAGATTCATCCCTTATCGGGCGAGTCCCAGTGAAACAGCATTTAGTGCTTGGTGCTCTGTGGTTCTTCGCTGTACTGTAGGGAAAAAAAGATGGATGTACCTGCAAGCAGGGAGAGCCAAAGCCGCGGCAGCAGCTGCCCCTCGGGACCGGCTTTGGTGCGGGGGCCGCAGGGGCACTGTGGGCTGGAGGGGCCACAGTCTCGCAGGCAGCGTCGGCTCCAAACTGGGGTTACTTGAGCGGGGGCTGCCCCATGCCCTTCCCTCCCCAGGAGGAAGCTCCAGCCCCGCCGCGCAGAGGGCGGTCGGGGTGTCTGTCCTTGGCAGGGGCACCCTTGGAGCGGGACCCCCTCGGGACCCGGCGCCGGAGCTCAGACCTCGCGGGGGGCTCAGAGGGGCCGAAGCCTGTTCGGGGGCTGGCCCAAAATCTCACAAGCCCCGTGTCAGCTTTAACCACCCCCGTTCTGCTCTTGGGCTGCCGCCGCAGCCCTCGGTGCAGAGACCAGGCAGCAGCAGGAGGAGGAGGAAAAAAAGGAGGATGAGGAGGAGAGGAAAAGCTCTGGGTGACCTCCCCGGGGGCAGGGAGGATGGTGTCCTTCCGCTCGCTGCTGCGCGGCCCAGCTCCACCACCAGCTACTTCTAATGACACTTCAACAAACACATAACAATCTGTCTTAAGGAAAATCAGTGAATAAATTTCATTTAAAAATACTTCTCTATTTCTGGATAGGCACCACTCTGCTCCAGCTACTTCAGAATCGGCTGAAGCCTTCGCGTTACCCAACAGCAAGACTGCACAAGGCTGTTATGGGTAAAATACAGCATTCAGCTCTCCGTAAGATTAATAAACAGCTCTCTAAACCACTCTTCTTACATAAGTGTAGACAGCTTCTCAGTGTTTGGCTTTTATCCACCAGCTGATGCACACCTCACCAAAAAGGAAAAAGTGAAAGAAAGACTTAATATCCAGCTGCCTGTGGGTCTGTCCCGCTGGGTGCCCCTCCGGAGGCCGAGGCAAGGGGTGCGGGGGGGGGGCCGCTGGCTGCCCAACTGGCACATGTTGGAGGGGACCAGGCGTTGGGTTGAGAGATGGAAAATTTTAGGGAGGCTTTTGCTCTGCTGGCTGCAGGTCCCCGTGCTGCGCACATCCCCGCAGAGCCAATCTGGCCTAATTATGTCTTCAAGCAAACACAACGTGTTTACTCGATGTGCAGGCTCCCCTAAATTAGCATTAGCCCATGTGTACAAAACGCGCTGCTGCGGCCGCGCGTGGCCGTGCTGTCACCGGGATGCGGGACGGCGAGGGACCCCGTGCCAAGGGGGGGGGGGGGGGTCACCGCTCCCCCACCCCGGCCCTCGGGGTGCGGAGCCACAGGCAGGTCCTGCCATTCGCAGCCCCCCCCTCAGCAGCAACACCGGGTGCTGTGTTTGTGGGTGGGTAGGAGGACAAGCTGTTAGCTTCAAATCTATAATCTGTAGCAGCTTGGAAGAGGCACCCCCTCTCCCTGCCCTCCCGGAGCTAAAAACAGCCTGAAAGGTCCCTCTTCCCTGGAGGAGGAGGCGTGTGGCATCCACTCGTGAGATGCAGATTAGCAGAGGCTTTTTCTAAGCCCCGGGAAGCGCTGCCATGCCCGTGCCCTCTCCTGGCACCCGCCGGTCCGTGGCAGTGCTGGAGCTGTAGTTGGTGACACCGCAGCCCCGTGCCCCTGCGGGGCTCACGGGGGGGCACGGGGTCCCCAGCACCTGCAGGGTGGGACGAGGGACCCACGGTGGGATGGAGGACGGGGTGAGGAGGACGGCACGGAGCACGGGAGGCGAGTGGTCACAGGGGGATGCTCCTCTCACTTGCTCCCGCTGTTATTTTGTGCACAGAGCCCCGAGGGACCCAGAAACGAGAGTGGCCCCAGCACCGCTGCTGGTGGGGACTTCTCAGGAGCCCGGTGCCAGCCGCGGGTCCTGCCAGGAGCCCCCTCGCACGGCCTGACCCACGGGCAGCCGGGAGCACGCGGCGTCCCCGAGCTCCCTCCAGCCCAACTCCCCGGGGCGGGACGCGGATGCTCCGACGTTTCCGGAGTTTCAGCCAGAAGACTGAGGGTCGCAGGGCTCCGTGAGAGTCAGCCTTCTGGTGGGGCAGAGGAGAAACCTGTTTGCTTTGACAGAGAAGAGGCTTAAAAAATGACTTTGGCCGTTTTGTTTGTTTTGCGACAGCAACGTTTTCATAAGCAGTTTTCCCATGTTTTGTTGCCCTCCGACATAAAAACTACGATACATGTGAAGCAAGTGGTGTTTCCCATTTCTTGTAGCAATGCCTTACCTTTCTGGCAACTCTGCCCAGGGAGCCATTGGAAAAGCAAGAAAATTAGTTTTCACATTGTAAGGCTGCATCCCGGTGTGTCAGGCTGCGAGTGAGGCAGAGCTGATCGCAGAGGTTGTTCGATGTCGGCTCCCTTCCCCACTCTGCCACCGATTGCTTTTATGACCTTGAAGAGTCACCCCACCTCTGTTTTTCCCCCTCTTTAAATGGGATTAATTATATCTGACTTCACGGAGCTCTTTGTAATCTAAAGGTATTAAATGCAAAACTTGTTTATGTGTTAGTGTCTCATAACGACCAGAACTGGCAATAGCCAACAATGTTAAAATATGTGAAATTCCAACCTGGTAAAAAGCAATACTCCTCTTACCGGTGTCTTCATGCACTGGAAACTCACAGCCGCGAGCTGGTGGTCAAAGCGGGAGGAGAAGCTGCCCACACTCAGGTAAATACAGAAATCTGTCTGATTTTTCTCCCAGAGAAAGGTTTGGTGTGTGGTGGTGGGAGAGGCTGAGGCTCTCGCAGGGCACTTGCCGTGATGGAGAAAACAAATGTCCCGCTTCCCGCTGGGGCACGGCTCGCCAAGGCTCGGGAGCGGGCAGCAAAAATCGGCACTATAAACCCTCTGCACCCGTTTCGGCTCATGTGCTGAGTGCTGGCGGCAGCGAGCTGTCCCCACGGGGCAGCACGGGCACATGTCCCCACGGGGCAGCACAGGGACATGTCCCCACTGGGCAGCACGGGGACATGTCCCCCATGGGGCAGCACAGGGACATGTCCCCACTGGGCAGCACGGGGACATGTCCCCCATGGGGCAGCACAGGGACATGTCCCCACAGGGCAGCACGGGGACATGTCCCCACAGGGCAGCACGGGGACATGTCCTCACGGGGCAGCACGGGGACATGCCCCCACAAAGCAGCACAGGGACACGTCCCCACAGGGCAGCACGGGGACATGTCCTCACGGGGCAGCACGGGGACATGTCCCCACAAAGCAGCACAGGGACACATCCCCACGGGGCAGCACGGGGACATGTCCCCATGGGGCAGCACGGGGACACGTCCCCATGGGGCAGCACAGGGACACGTCCCCACGGGGCAGCACAGGGACATGTCCCCCATGGGGCAGCACGGGGACACATCCCCATGGGGCAGCACGGGGACACGTCCCCATGGGGCAGCACGGGGACAAGTCCTCACGGAGCAGCACGGGGACACGTCCCCATGGGGCAGCACGGGGACACGTCCCCATGGGGCAGCACGGGGACATGTCCCCCATGGGGCAGCACAGGGACACGTCCCCATGGGGCAGCACGGGGACACGTCCCCATGGGGCAGCACGGGGACATGTCCCCATGGGGCAGCACGGGGACACGTCCCCCATGGGGCAGCACGGGGACATGTCCCCATGGGGCAGCACGGGGACATGTCCCCCATGGGGCAGCACAGACAGCACGGCTCCTGCAGGACAGTGGGGCCAAAGCGCATTTGCTGCTGGGCTCGGGAGACACTCGAGCTGTTTCCCGAGTGGAGTCTGGAGGAGGGGGAAGGCAAAGAACGCGGCTCCCCGGGGAGACACGTGTGCGGAGGCACAGGGCACCGCTGCGTGAGTGGGCACGGCGGAGCAGAATGGCAACTTCTGCCCTCGATGTTGTTTCCCAGTGTCCAGCTCCGTGGCCAAACGCTCTGAGCAGCGGACTCTTTCAGCAGCTCCCTCCCAGCGGTCGGGGCCCCCCTGCCCTGGCACGCCGGTGGGGGCTGCGCCGGACCGGGCCCAGGCAGGAGCCTTCTGCAGCATCCTCCAGAACAGGCACCCCGCTGCATCCAGCCCGGAGTTAATTACAACAGCAGCATCAAACAGAGACTTTTTAAATGAAAGGGAAGGACTAGCAGCTTTCTAGCTCTGCCTTTATTTTTTAACCCCAATTACAAGACGCATTGCAAGGGAGAGGCCGTGGCAGATAATAAAGTTCAATGGGATGGTCTGAGAGTTAAGTGGAGAACCATGAAAGCCTCACATCCTGATCCCAAATTGGACATTGATATGCTGTGTGGCCTCGTCTCCTGGTTTCCTCCATGTAAAGTGGGGGCGATGCTTAGCCCGAGGGGCGTTCCACAGATGAATTAGCATTTGGAAAGCGCTTTGAAGATTTAAAGAGTTATATAAATGCTAAGCGTTAGCATCATCAGCTTTTATATTGCAGCAGCACCCAGAGCCTGCAATCAAGATCAGAGCCTCGCTGTACCAGGCAATTTAGGAGCTCCTGGTTGGAAGAAGCCCCTGCCCCGGCGACGGGCCGTGCGTGCCCACGCAGGCGGGAGAGGGGCCGGAGTCGCCGGGAAGGGCTGCCCAGAGCTGGAGCACCCATGGGTGACCTGCCCCGGGTCCCCCATGGGTGCTCAGCACCCTCCCGGGGATCCGCGGGGAGCTGTGCGCTGCGGGACGCATGCGTTCCTCCCCACAGAGGTGCGGTCCCGCCCGTTGTTTTGATAGTACAACTAAAGCGAACTGGCCTTGAAGTTTAGGAAAAATCGAAGAAGTACTCACAAAACAGATTTGATTGGAGATTAGCATTAACCGGCGTGCACAAAACCAGCCGGTCAACTTCATTTCCACCACTTGTCCACTGGAAGATATTTCATAATTTTGTTTCCTTCCTAATCAGATGAAAATACAACATGAGTGTTAATCACAGAGCACAAATAGGGAAGAATATGTAAAAAAGAAAAGCAACCTTCAAAACCTTTGTTTTCAATATAGTTTATGTCATGCATTGCATTTAAAAACGCCAGTAGATGAGATGATGTTATTTGCAACATCATTCATTAAAAAGTGTGCACTGTCAGCCAAGCACAAATCAACATATGACAGACTACAAAGAAATACCAAAGTAAAAGGAAACTTGAGATGAAACAGAGTGAGGTCATTGGTTTCTTGCATTATCCTGAAGATATTTGTCAACACTTTAATTTAGCCAAATGGCCACCATTTAATAAAAAAACAAAAAAAAAAAAAAAAAAAACAAAAAAAAAAAAAAAACTTTGTTTTGACAAAATCATGATCTGGGGGGAAGAACTTTTGAAAAAACAGGTTAACCATTTCCACTCCGTACTTCTGAACAAGTCCTCCTGAGAAAAGGGAAGGGACCTGTGTGCGGCCTGATGGCATTATCTGAGAGAGGACCAAGTAGAAGTCATCCCTTCAGATTTACAGTCTTCTCCTCTATTTGTACTATTTGTAGGTTGTGGACACACGACTGAGATATGGCAGGGCTTGTAAGGAAAAATATCTCGGACCTTCGCTACATCTACTGCTTGAGCAGGGCAGACCTTGAGACCAGAGATAGGAATTCAGCTGATAAAGTGAATAGAAACTACAGATGCCGCCAGCTGCCGCCTGGCCTCCCAGTGCCACGTCCCCTGCCTCACCGGGGTGAGAAGGAGCCCATGTCACCCACGCGCTGCCGCCGTGGGGCTCGGGCCACGCTCAGCACCCTGCTGTGCCCATCCCAGCCCAGCACAGACCCCGCGGCCCCACCAGCCCGGGAGCGGGAGCTGCTGGAGCCGGTGGTGACGGCGCTGAGCGTCGCACGGGGAGTCACCCTCCGGCCCTGCTCACCAACACCGTTTTGCCCCTCCTGTCCCACGGAGCGGTCGCTCCCCGTTTTGGGCGGCCGATGCAGGAGGCCGAGGCGGGTCCCGCGTGGGGGGTCCCCTCCGGCCCCTCCGTCTGAGCCGTGGGGCCGCAAGTCCGGACTTGAATCCCGCCGTGGCGTGCGCTTTGGTCTCAGCTAGTGCGCGGCGCCGGGGGGGGGGGGGGGGGGGAGCTGAACAGGTTGAGTGACTTCAGGCTGTGGGAGGAATAAATCGTCTTGGGTTGCTTCAGAGAGCTGAGGCAGCCAAACCGGGCGAGGATGGCACTGCGGAGCACCTCGCGTCTCTGCCAGGTACCTCCAGAGAGTGTTTGCGTTTGAAGGACTTTTTACAGGACTGCTGTCAAAACGGGTAGAGAGCGAGCTTAATTGGGACTGATCTGAAAAAAAAAAAAAAAAAAAAACGAGGCGGTGTGTAGGTGTGCAAGGGATGCGGCGAGCGGCTGCTCTCAGCCGGAGCCGAGCATAAACAGGTCCAGTCTGATGTTTATCAGGGAGTCTCATCTCCTGAGCTGGTAAATTTTTCACTGTCGTGTCAGTTAGGATCCGCAGACCGGAGAGCATTAAAGGCAGCTTTGTGAGCGAGGCTGAGCGCGCCCGTCGTGCCCTGGCGGGCGGTGGGGAGCCAGCCCCCCCCCCCCAGCCCCAGCTCCGGGGTCTGCCTGCTCCTGCCCCCGGCCCGAGCGCCGGCCCCGAGCGCGGACTGAGTCACAAGTGACTCACTTCAAACTTGGATGTGAGCGCAAAGTATACATTTGCAAATTGGCTGGTGAGGCACTGCTTTGCAATGTAGGTGGGATGTATTACATACTCCAGCAGTCAAGTTCTGCTCTTTTTTTTTTCCCTCCTCCCTCTCCCTCCGTGCAGGATAGCTGTCTGAGCCCAGGATTTTGGTGCGGTTCTCACGGGCGCAGGAAAACGTCTCAGCCCGCTCCGGTGGATGCGGCGTGTGGATGGCTCCAGCTCTGCTCGTGACGGGGCTCCGCGCTGAAGATGGATGACTTAGCTCTCCTTGACCTGTTGGAGTGTCCTGTGTGCTTTGAGAAGCTCGATGCCACAGCGAAGGTGCTGCCTTGCCAGCACACTTTCTGCAAGCCCTGCCTGCAGAGGATCCTGAAATCCCAGAAGGAGCTCAGGTGCCCCGAGTGCAGGACCCTCGTCCTCTGCGGCATCGAGCAGCTGCCCTCCAACCTGCTCCTCATTCGCCTCCTGGATGGAGTCAGGTGTGGACAAAACGTTACCAGGTTTGGCTCGATCCAGAGGTCGGGGGTCCTGTCCTCCCCTGCCTCCATCAGGAGAGTCCCCAGGGGGCTGCAACTTCATCAGCACCGGCTGGCGACAAATCCCAGGATCCACATGGAAGGGGTAAGGAGGATCCACGTTCTTTACTCTGTCCGTCAGCATAGAAAGCTTTCTTCCTGTGTGCCAAGGAGCTGGGAAACTTTCCTGTTAGCAGTACTGCAGAAATGTTTGAAGTAAGAGAGATCATTTTGTTTGCAAATCCGGCTGCTGTTTCCTTGTGATATTTGACTATTTTGAGTTCACCACAACAGTAATTGCATTGACTCTCAGGCTGAGACAAAACCAGCTTGCCCTTCTCCTTACAAAAAATTCACAGCAGCTGTTTTCCCAGGGAGTTTTCAGGTGCTTCCTGACTTTTGGGGGGCGTTTCCGGTACTTTGATTTTCAGGCACTTTGACTTTCAGGCAATATACTGATATTTGACTAATAGCAATTAAATCAGTAATTGCAAAGCTATAACTGTTAGAGTTAGAGAAAGGTATTTCCCGGCACTGCACCCCAGTTTTCTGGGCAATATACTGATATTTGACTAATAGCAATTAAATCAGTAATTGCAAAGCTGTAACTGTTAGAGTTGGAGAAAGGTATTTCCCGGCACTGCACCCCAGTTTTCCCAGCCATTGAAAAGGAAGGAGGGCGCCTAATGATGCTTACGTCCCGGGCAAAATACTTTGAGGTTCACTAATGAAAAATATTAAACTCAACTTACTGACTTTATCTAGGGATGATTTACTAGGCTAGTTTTAAAATTCCAAGTTGTTTCTGTTATTCTCTTTAGCAGTACAGAAGCTTTTCTTAAATAACGAGGACATGATTAATTAGACTTGTTAAAGGAGCTTGGCTCAGACTGAATGTGGGGTAGAGAGTGACTTGTGGCATCGCCTCTCCTGTGTTATATTCCTGGATTTCCATTTCCCCCACCTGAACTATTCTTCTGTACAACATCTCTACAAACGTTTTCATAACATTCAAAAGCTTGACTCAAACAGCTATTAAATCTCAGAGCGTTTTTCAGAATTGCAGAGCTATAAACAGAGGTAGGACAGGTTTTCTTGCCCGCGTGCTGGCGGGGGACGTTGGTGCGGGTATTGCTGTGGAGCCGTGGCAGACCCCCATGTCCTGGGGGAACGGGCGGGTGTCCGTGCCCCAGGGGGTCCCTGTGGCGTCGATATGTCACCCCGGATGGGCCACACATCAAAACCAGACGTCCCTCAGGAACTCCTCTCTCGGGTTTTCCTGCTGGGAAGAGTGGTGGTGCGGCCCCGGGACCTTTCCTGGGAGCCCCCCGGGCTGGCAGCTTGCCCGGCAGGCAGACACCGTGGGAAAGCCGGCCTGGAAGAGCCCGGCCGCTTCTCCCGCGTGCGGCTCTGCAGCCAGAAATCTCGCCATAGCTTGGGCGAAAGGCAGCTCGGTGCCGACGGCACCGAGCAGAGGTGTTCGGCGGGGCGATGGGCAGAGCGGGTGGTCCCCCCTCGGCAGCAGCCGGCGGGTGCAGGGGGGCCGGTGAGACCCCTCGCCACGAACCAGCTCTGGGGGAGCTGCTGGTGCCGTTCGTGCGAGGTACCAACCATCAGACAGAGACAATTTTCGCTACGGGCGGCATTCCGCCTGGAAATGAGACGTTTTGTAGTTCCTCCAGCCGGGCTCCCCTGGCCCCGGATAAAACAGCACAAATACATTTGTCTGGTTTTCTTCTCCCTCGGCCGTTTCACGTTGCTTTTAGTCGTTCTCGGGACAGGCGGAGACTTGTTGTTGATACTGTGTAGTGGCAACCTCCATCAGTTTGCAGCTCCCGAAAGGGTTTTAAGACCAAACTCCTGGGATTCGGCAGAGCTGGCGCGCGCTGGGCGGGAGGGCTGTGGCTGCGGACGCGGCGCTGAGCTGGCCCGCTGGCTCCCTATGCCTCTTGACGAAGGGATATAAAAACACGTTACGCTGAAACGCTCTTAGACTTAATTAGTTAATTAATTATAAAACGCTTCGGAATCCTCGGCTGCAAGGTGAAGAATGCAACGTATTAGTCACATTTTGGTTTTGGAGGATTTAAATACATGCAGACGGGACGAGGCGTTACTCCAGCCGCGCCGGTGGGATGGGGGTGCATGCAGACACCCACCCCCCCCCTCGCTGCAGCTGGCGAGGGCACGTCCAGGAGCGCCTGCACGGTGCACGGAGGCAAGGCAGAAATACGGAAGAGTTATCATCTCCCTACACCACAGAGGGCTTGAGTTTCAGGGTATTCTGAAGTGATCTGGGTGAGCAGAGGCCTCCGGATGATTTGAAGTGTTTTATCAAAAAATCACCGCGAGAACGACTATCGTGTAGTCCTGCTCCACCACAGCTAATCCCACCACAGCCGCTTTCCTGGGTACTCTTAAACGCAGTATTTGTTTGCAACTGCCGTGGAAGGTCGTGTGCACTCCAAAGAAAGACCGCCCCAATCTGCATAGTCTGCTAATTACCACTACTTCTACACACCACTTCGTGCTACAAAGCAAATAAAATTAATGTGCACCATGCTGCACTGCAGCCAGACACGCCGTCAAAAGCAGGATACAGGACATGGTTTGTTTTTACCAAAGAAGCCATTCTATAAATAAACTTCCTTTACTCCATAGAGCTGAGAAAATCACAAGTTTGATCAACGTTTCTCTTCTCAGCAGAGATGTTTCCTTGCCAGCTTTTTGCTCTTCGCCCTTGTGAGCAGCCATGACGACAAAAAAGTAAAGTAAATCCCCTTGTCACCAAGCAAGCCAAGAACTTGTATCGCTCCAAGAGGGGAGTGCGAGCAGGCCCCAGCAGAGCTGCTGGATTAGCAGTAACACAATATTAATTTTTCAGTCAGGAATTTCACAGAGCCAGTCCTTAATAAACAGAGAATATTCTAGTTACAGCCCATCCCAATCTATGCCTTATTTGCTAGCCTTCAAATCACTTGTGGCTCCACTTCCCGCATGCTAACGTGGGGTGGGCACGTCTCTGTGCCCCGGTGGTGGCCGTGCAGGGACCAGGCAGAGCCCACCAGTGTGGCCCAGTACCTGCTCCGGCACGGCTGGCCAGCTTCTCAGACCTTTGACATCTCTGCCAAGAGGACAAGACTTTGGATTTTCAGGATCTCCACATAGTAAACTGTCTGGAATTTAAGAATAAAAGGATTTGCTAGGAGGTGAATGCGTAAATAATCCACGCTGAAGCCTTTGAACTCTTAGGAACCGCCCCTGGCATGTGCCAGATGTGGTTACGTCTTGTGCTGAAGCATCCTTCTTATCTGGCTTCAGCCCCGATGGAAGCTAAACACGGCTTTGCTGCTGGTGAGAGAACAGAAAGATCGTGTGTGCTGACGTATACACAAAACTCCCGTACTTCTCCGATGAGTAACAGACCTAAACTCTTCCCTACACACAGCAAAAGTCCGTCCAGGCCACTAAACAGCTACTTGGATGATGAACTTTGTCACGCAACAAATACAGGGCAGTGAGCCAGAGGAGAAAAATTCCCGGTGTGACAGCTTGCCTCTGGAAAACACAGACCACACAAATTTAACTGTGACTTCAGCTATTTTCGCTTTGCATGAACTGAGTGCTGTAACACCCCCCTCCAGCATTTCATGGGAGATAGACAGATAACACCTCTGTTGGGATAAAAATACCCTGCACTCCAACGTCGCCACCTTCACACGGACGTCTATATATAGTGCCTGCGTCTTGGTATTTTCTTCTCCTCCAGAAACATCTCCAACTACTTGCAGAATTTGACAGACAGGACTCATATTGCTGGATCCTTTTGGAACCTTATCCAAAGAAACCTTCACGTTTGGACCCGGCAGAGGCAAACACGTTTCCTGACCCACTCACTGCGCAAACCACCCTCCCCACCCCACACCCCCCCCCAGAGCCCCCCAACAGACCCTGCGCAGCCACAGCAATGACCTTGCAGCACGTGTCATATCACATTGGGCTGGACAGGGATGTTCCAGACCCGGGGGGTGGTCTCTGCTCCGGAGGTGGTGGCAGCCCCTTTTCCACCGGCGAGGGGGAGCATCCCCCAGCCCAGCAGCTGCTGTGGGTGGCAGCTGCTTGTGCCACAGGGTCCGTCAGCTGGAAATGGAGCCGCTTTATGTGGCTAAAATTTCTGTGTGGCCTCATGACCTTCTGGGATAAAGGGTTTGCCCCAATGCTCCTCCACAGCCGCATCCCATCAGTATTTGTCTCACTCTAAAAAACACTGAGTGTGACCTGAAGAATTTTTTCCTCTGTGCTGGCTTGCACCTTGTATAGAAATACTGCTGCAACGTCTATTTCTCCTTTGCGTGTAGTTTTAGCACTTGCATCTCTCGCAAAGAGAGAGTCAAGTCACACCAACGTAGATTGCCTGACAATAGACACCCTGAAAGATTTATATGCAACAGCAAATTGAAGAGCACGGGCGTAGGAAGCTTTGCAGGAGCCATAGACACTGCTGCGGCCATGAGGAAGAGTTGGTGCTGCTCACACCGGGAGACCGAGCCGCTCATTGCAGTCAGCGGGAGCGGGGCCTAAGGCAGAGCCACAGCCAGTGGGTCAGGGCAGGAGCGGTATCTCAGGTTCCCTACAGAAAGCTGAAAGCAAAAATACCATTTTGATGGGATGAAGGGTGAAACGCCCAGTTGCACTGGAGATGCGAGGCAGCACCGGAGCTCTCAGGTGAGGATGGGTGGCTTTGCAGAGGGCTGGGGTGGCCGCCTGCTCGTCACAGTCCGGTCCGTTTCGGTTGCAGGGAAACTCCCCTCCACGCTTTCGATGGGTGAGCAAGGCTCCTGGCTCAGGCGAATGGCAGCGGGCACTGTGATTCCCGGCCAGCCCTGTCACTGCTGCCTGCAAAACACACAGCGATTCTCAGCGTGCTTTTGCTGCAGAGAGGCTCCCAGCTCTGTCCCTGCGGGTCACACCAGCACTGGCTCCTGTCACACCAGCAATGCCTTCTGTCACACCAGCAGTGGTTTCTGTCACACCAGCACTGGCTCCTGTCACACCAGCACTGGTTCCTGTCACACCAGCACTGGTTCCTGTCACACCAGCACTGGC